AAATCAGCTTGAAACGTGCTGCGCTTTCTGACTACACCAGTTTGTTCATTAGAGGCACATTTTTGGCTTTCTTCGATCCGTGGTTCACTCTTGGCAGAAGCCTCGGTGGTCGAAAGCAAAATTTCAGCTGTTTTTAGTTTCTTTAAACCAGGTCTTTCAGCCATTGAAAGTTGTGAACAAATGATAGACACCGTACTAGTGTGAAGTATCCTGCAGTGAAGACAACGAGGTAAAGTCTCTTGCTTACCTCTTTAACTTTCCAAAAGGGGGATCATACGTTGCACATTGATTATATTTCACCGTGTGCTTCCGCAGCAGAAGCAGCACCTCATTTTTTTCTCACACAAATGTAAATGTTGCAGCAGGCATTAAATTTGTACTCGTCCCTCACTTTGACAGAATTCGTTCTCTGAGACCAAAAGGAAAAGTTTTGTGCCCGGTTTCAGTTATACCTTAAAATTTGATGACGTCACGACTTCACGGGTAAATTGTGCAATTGAAGCCTCACTTACAGCACGTCTTATTGAGGTAGACGTTGCGTTGACGTACTGAAAAAGAGTTATGCTTTCGCATAGGAAACCCTGCAGCTGATGCGTCACTCTGTGCACCGGTTTTAAACGATTTCCCTCGCAACATGCTATTTCGCGCATCTGATGTCTCGCGTTACCAACTGCTTTCCTGCCCTCACTCCAACCACTGCACATACCTCATGCCATTACGCAGCGCCAGATTTTCGTCGTGCCTGCACATCAGATGGCTTGGGCCACGTAAAGCTGAGCTGCTGCTAAACGTCTGCAATAGCATCTTCGCATGCAAGTCATTTAACGGATAAGCGGTCGGCTATGATCGACATGGAAGTGCACACGATTTCCAGCCCAAAGGAAGAAGAAGGCGATGAATGTATTTCGCCCAGCAGCCGTCCGCATAGCAAATCGTAAGCGATCAGACCCATTTGTACCATCACTCAAGAACCGGTTAAAAGCGTTCTTATTAATAAACCCTTTAAAATTCTATGGCTCCTTTCCTATAATATTCTTTTTCAAAGGGGTCCACCGTACAAATTAGCGTCTTTGGCATTGCCTCATCTTTGATCAGGCCTTCGGTCATTCCTGAAGCTTTACGTCTTGCTTTACTAGGGTACGTCACCTTTTCTCGTTGACCTTGCTCCTATTCTTCATCTCTGGTAGTACCACTGTTTGGATCACTTTGCCTAGGTATTTTGCGGGTTTCCTTTCACATTGACTCAATCAACAGAGCCTTGTTTCGATAATATTTTTGTTACTGAGGCTAGGTGCATGATTTACCGTTTTTGAATATGTTCTGGTCTTTGTCCTCTGTGTTCACTCCATCCGTTTCCATTAACCATTGAATATTCATAAACGCTTTGATCGGTGCTTAATTTCCTTTCATACGACACTCCAAAAGAAGACCTTTCATTCCAAAATGACTACAGCATGCTTGTAAAGAGTTGCATATTTCTGTTGTAGAATGAGTTATTTGATAGATTTCGTTTTATCTTTAATAGAAAAGTCAAGGACAGATATTAATGACCGCTGGATACACCAGGTGCAAGTTTTTCTAGTTAATTCTGCTTTTTTTGCATTGACTCTTGAGCGTTACCATGTGTCATTCCGCAGCAGATCATCGCAGCCAAATCAACATCTTATCTGCCCTTGGTCAGCGTACTTCAACAAGGGCAAGTGAGAGAAAATGGCAGGATACTAAGGAAATTTTCCTCATCAACCGGATTCATGCCTTGAGCCTCAAATTTGATTGTATACTAGCAAATGCATTCTATCCTATTCAATAGATGCAATTATTGTACAGATGGCTGCATTTCAATTTCCTAACTTCCAAATATACCTGCCTATTCTTCTACTCTTGAGCTAGTTTAAACACTGGCGTTTCCTAATCATTCTTTCGTTCTGACCTTCCATCCTTCTAGGAATGAGTGAAAAATTCCGAAACTCACTCACTTTCTTCATAGGCAATATGGTAAAAAACTCTACAAATAGAAGCTGAGAAAAGGGATGATGTGTGATTCTTGCTCACCTCACTTCTTATCAAAGATTGATTACCTCATCTCCTATCGATGTGAATTTTTTCTTCGTCGACACAATGAACAGCTCCTAATAGCAAAATATGACTGCTGAGAGGAGCGGCCTTTGTAAATCTTAAGCAACCAGTGGTCTTGCAAAGCCAATAAAGAGGACACTGAAGCAG